ACATCTCAATATTATTAAAAAAAGGACTTAATTTATTTTTTTTTTAAATATCAGAGATATGTATCACCCATTACAAATGAATAATTGTTGAAACTCGTCAAACAGAAAGCAACAAGAGTCAAGCTAAAGTAAGAAGACGATGAACAGTAACTCATCTCAATTCAGTGATTTTCCTGAAGTGTACTACATGGTATTATATAGTTGAGATGTACAAGAGTTAATTACTAAAGTAACCCGTTTAGTTACTTAAAGGTGTCTGACTTGGCAGGAGATCATGGAAACATATTCTGAGTAGCAGACAAAGTGGCCGCAGGCAATAGGCGGCGGCGTAGTGGGCTCAGACTACTTATCACCGTCCCTTAAGCTGACGGGAGGAATGACCAGAAGCTTGTTGCGCAACTCGAGCAGACAAGCTGAGGGAAGATACTTGGTAAAGACATCTGCAACCTGATCAATGGTTGAAATATGATGTACAGCAATGTGGTTGGCCTAGATACATTCCTGGATGAAATGATGGTCGATCTCAATATGTTTGGTGCGGGCATGAAAGATTGGATTGCAGACAATTGACATGGCAGAAACGTTGTGGCAGAATAACTTTTGTTGGCTGTTGAGGGAGAAGAAAGTCTTCACAGAGACGTCGGGTCCATATTATGTCCGTGGCAACCGCAGCCATGGAACGGTATTCAGCTTCAGTCGAAGACCTGGCTACCATTGTTTGCTTCTTAGCTGACCAAGTAAGCAGAGCATTGCCTAAGAAAAGGCAGTAACCAGTGGTAGATTTACGGTCAAGCTGATCACCAGCTATGTCAGAGTCTGAATACTCAGAGAGAGTTAACTGGGTTTTGGGAAGAAACATAGTATGAGTAATAGTGCCTTTCAGGTACCGCAAAACATGTTTGAGTAACTGAAAGTGAAGGAGTTGGGGACTATGCATATGTTGACAGAGTTTATTGACAGCAAAGGCTATGTCGGGACAGGTAGAGGTAATGTACTGCAGCGAACCAACTGGTTTTCGAAAAAACTCTGGTTGAGGAAATGGCAGGGCAAGATTGTTATCTGTGGGAAATTTGGATGGTAATGGCGTGAGTAAAGGTTTGCAATTGGACATGGAGGTTGTATGCAAAAGCTCAGTTATGTAAGATTGCTGGGAAAGATGATAGCCATCCATGGTTCTATTAAATTCCGTGCCAAGGAATTTAGATAACGGGCCAAGATTTCTTGTTTGAAATCACTGTGCAAGTTTATCAATCAATGTGGAGATGTATTGCGTATCACTTCCAGTGACGAGAATGTCATCGACATACACTAGTATGTATATGTGAAGAGCGTCCTTATGCAGATGGAAGAACGAAGGGTCTGCTGAACTGACTGTAAAGTTTTGATTTTTGAGATAATTTGATAAAGTTGCAAACCAGAGGCGCGGTGCCTATTTGAGGCCATAGATGGCTTTGTGCAGCAAGCAAACATGGTCCGGATAGTGTGGATCTTCAAATCCCTGAGTCTGATTCATATAAATGGTTTCTGTTAAAGCACCGTGAAGAAACGCATTCATAACATCAAGTTGATGTATTGTCCAGCCATGATGAAGAGCAACAAGCAAAAGTAGGTGAATTGTTGTATGCTTAACGACTAGACTGAAAGTTTCTAGGTAATCAACACCATAAGATTGTTTGAAGCCCTGCGCAACCAGACGGGCTTTGTATCTGGCGATGTTGCCATTGGCTAAATGCTTTAATTTGTAGATCCATTTGCACCCAATTACCTGTTGATTAGCTGGCAGTGGCACAAGAGACCAAGTGCCTTGTGCTTGGAGGGCGCGAAATTCAGTCGACATGGCTTGTCGCCAATTTGAATCTTTGTTGGCGGTAGAAAAACAGGTAGGTGTAG